CCATTAGTCATTAATTTCCTTATATGTAGCTATGGCTTAGATATTTGGTATGAAACATTGTCCAGTGGACATTGTCTACAAAAATAGTTCAAATTATATACTGCGAATTCACTTATATTTGAGGGCATGAAATTTTGTGGTTGTATCAAAACAGGCCTATTTGTGGTTTCTTAAATTTGTGGATTTTCATTTTCTTAAAAAAACCTAATGAAAAGTAACCTTACAATTAATTGCTGTGCATTTTAAGTTACCTTTACATATCACACAGGGCTTGTCAATAATGTAATCCTTGCCTCTAGGCATAATATAAAGATTTAGTTACTGCAGATAATTGACAGCAATTAACACATTTAGATGACATGATATGCAGCTCCATTGTACACACTGCCCCTGTGATTGGTCGATATAAATTTGCATAATTTATACTACCCCTGACATGTTTTAACCAGCGAGTTTAAATAGTTTACACCCTGAATAGGTCTTACTATATTTGACAGTAACTACACGCAACATCACATCGGCTCAGTAAATTTACAAGCATATATAAATAATATGAGTAAATAATACGAGATTGTACAGACATACAGTACGCTCACCGCGGGTTTTGCTTTTTCCGCGATACCACCGCGGACGATTTTTTTTTATCGCGGACAAACGCGGGGGTTCGTCCGCGATGAGAATCCTAATTTCCCCGCGATCCCCGGTGTTCAGTTGTTTCCACCGCGGACAAAATTCTGACGACCGTTCTTCATTTATCGATAAAATCAGTCACCCGTTTCCCGCGGGGGAACGCCATGGTCAGTTGGTCAGTATAAATTAACCTAAAAATATAATAGACGTTTTATTATTTTTTAACGTCATCTTTTTTACACAATGACTTGAAAATTGACCACAATCGTCTCCTTAAATGTTATTATACGTTAAATTATTTGAATGGAATTTGAAATAAAAATAATTACAGCTGTACCTGTTTTTGTTGTTGTTTTTAATATTTTTGTTATAAACGTCCACAAAACTATTCGTCCACATACATGTACCAATATTTTTACAACTGAAATCGTCATTTATCACTGTCATCTTTACTTGTTCATTCCTTGTGGTTCTATAAGTATTATTGCTGTTAAACTATATGGGAGCCATAAATATGATACTTAGTAAAAAAAGGACATTTGTGCTGATTTCTCAATGATGACTGACGCTACAGTACATGTCCTGTAAGAGGTCGATGAGTGTGAATACAAGACAGGACATAAATAAAATACATGTACATATATTAGAAATAAAAGAAAAAGATATTTAAACCATCTATAAGATTTTATTTGTATGCAATTATATTCTTTAAAAACGGGTAGACTTGTTTGTTTGTGTTTTTTTACAGTAAAAACCCCGTCGAAAATGGACATGAGAAATATGCATGACACTTGCCAAAAAGTTTATGTATACTGTACATACCGTATATATATTTGACACAAATTCAAAAAGGTTCTCTTTGCCATCATGTCAGATATTGTCGGATATTGTATATTGTCAGATATTGTATATTGTCATATTTTCTATATTGTCAGATATTGTATGTGTGAAAAGGGGACATGTCGCCGCTACTTAATATGTATTTAAATAGTAGTATTATACATAAATGTTCATAATTCGTTTGTGCTACACAAAGAGAGTTCTTTAAATGCTTTAAATTTAATTTGCGTCTTTAGTAATTAGTTAGATATTACGAGTTTTCTATTAGTTTCTATGAGTTAAGACTTTTATCTTTATAACGTGTAAGTTTACAATTAAGTGAGTTACATCGCTCTTTATATAAATTAATTGTGAGTTACATCGCTCTTTATATGTACTTTTATTACAACAAAAAAGAAAGAAAACAAACAAATTTTACATATAGTTACATGTATATGTACAGTACATGTTACAGTACATGTACGTACGTATACTGATGTTTAAATACAGTAATTAATTTTTAAAATTTAAGGTTTCCACCGCCTTGACCGGTGTTTGACCGCCGCGTTCCTCCGCAATTTACCACTGCGTTCCGCGGAGGAAACGGTTTCAGCCGCCGATTTATGTCCGCGGTGGTGAAAATTTTCTGTCCCCGGGGTCACGCGGACAATATCTGAGCAAATTTTCGTCCGCGGTAAACCTCATCCGCGGGGTCACGCGGGTTTTGAAAAAGCCGGGCTGAGTGACTGTATTAAGAATTCGGCAGCGTCTTTGATGTTTACAGAGTAGCAGTCGCACAAATACAGATTAAAATTCATTTAAACTGGATCATTTAAAGACAACAAAAGGATGTACAATTCATCCGTTTTAGTGATTGTTTATTATTTTTTTGTGTACTTAACTTACGACATTAATATCAAAAATATAACAATAACTAAGAGCAAACTGACAATTTATATTAGCGCTTATAAATTATTACTTGATTATGTCAAGTATTCTGGATAACACAATCAAGTAGCCTACAACAATTAAGCAGTCTCAGTGATATGTATAAAACGACCGAAATTCAGGACATATCATCGACTTTGCTTTCAAGTTTCTTCAATATCGCAAACCTAAACTAGGTATAGCGTTAACTAACCTGATTATCTGTATACCATCATAACAAAATAATTGACCGGAAAAGCGGCGACGCATGTTTAGAATAGAGACATGGTTAGAAGTAATCGTTGGGATAAAATTTTGTCAGATCTTAAATACGTGGATTGATCTACCCACGAAAACCTTGTGACCCACAAATAATAATGTTTTAACAGTAGCCTTCTGGTCAAATTTTCCCATCCCTCAGGGGGAACATAGATTTTCCTTATATTATAAGTTTGAAGATGGGTCATGTCCAGTCAAAAACTATGTCACAGGAGCTAAAAAAAGAAAAAGCTTGTTAACACTCTAGTGGCTGCAGTTTTCATCCAAATATTCTGGAAATTTGTCAGGAAGGTTGTTTTGATGATATCTAGGTCATGTTTGAAGATGGGTCATCTCCGGTTAAAAACTAAGTCACAGGAGCTAAAAATAGAAAAAAGCTTGTTAACACCTTAGGGGCTGCAATTTTCATCCAAATATTCTGGAAATTTGTCAGGAAGGTTGTTTAGATGATATCTAAGTTAAGTGCGAAGATGGGTCATCTCCGGTCAAAAACTAGGTCACAGGAGCTAAAAATAGAAAAAGCTTGTTAACACTCTAGTGGCTGCAGTTTTCATCCAAATATTCTGGAAATTTGACAGGAAGGTTGTCTTGATGATATCCAGGTCAAGTTCGAAGATGGGTTATCTCTGGTCATAAACTAGGTCACAGGAGCTAAAAATAGAAAAAGCTTGTTAACACTCAAGGGGCTGCAGTTTTGATTCAAATATTCAAGAAATTTGTCAGGAAGGTTGTTTTGATGATTTCTAGGTCAAGTTCGAAGATGGCTCATGTCTGGTCAAAAACTAGGTCACAGGAGCTAAAAATAGAAAAAGCTTGTTAACACTCTAATGGTTGCAGTTTTCATCCAAACATTCTGGAAATTTGTCAGGAAGGTTGTTTTGATGATTTCTAGGTCAAGTTCGAAGATGGGTTATCTCCGGTCATAAACTAGGTCACAGGAGCTAAAAATAGAAAAAGCTTGTTAACACTCTAGGGGCTGCAGTTTTGATTCATATATTCTAGAAATTTGTCAGGAAGGTTGTTTTGATGATTTCTAGGTCAAGTTCGAAGATGGCTCATGTCTGGTCAAAAACTAGGTCACAGGAGCTAAAAATAGAAAAGCTTGTTAACACTCTAATGGTTGCAGTTTTCATCCAAACATTCTGGAAATTTGTCAGGAAGGTTGTTTTGATGATTTCTAGGTCAAGTTCGAAGATGGGTTATCTCCGGTCAAAAACTAGGTCACAGGAGCTAAAAATAGAAAAAGCTTGTTAACACTCTAGTGGTTGCAGTTTTCATCTAAATATTCTGGAAATTTTTCAGGAAGGTTGTTTTGATGATATCTAAGTCAAGTTTGAAGATGTGTTATCTCCGGTCAAAAACTAGGTCACAGGAGCTAAAAATAGAAAAAGCTTGTAAACACTCTAGTGGCTGCAGTATTAATTCAAATATTCTGGAAATTGGGCAGAAAGGTTGTGTTGATGATTTCTAGGTCAAGTTTGAATATGGGTCGTGTCCGGTCAAAAATTAAGTCACATTGCCCAAATATGGAAAAATCTTTATAACACACTAGAGGTAACCGGTTTGACTCAGTTGTCATCAAACTTGGCCATGATGCTTGTTTAAGACATTGCTTGGATGCGGTTGTGTCAGTTGAGAGATCCAGGGCCATCATGGCCCTTTTGTTATAATAAAGAAACTGTAAATTTTCATAGCAGCCAGCAAATATTAAATTTCCATAGCAATGAGTGAATTTACCATAGAATTTCATTGTCTTCTGATTTCCAAGTTTATAATTCTGGGTAGCAAACAGTGACATCTCATGAAACTATTGTTTTCCATTTAGCGATAGCAACCAGTAAAATTTCTACATGTACACTATTTCAGATACAAATATAAACTTTTTGATATCGATTTAAGATTTATATTTTATATCTACTCTTGTTTAATATTATAATATTACTTCTTCCTTGTCATGGAAAATATATTTATTCAGGTGAGCAATATAAATGCCATGGGGCCCTCTTGTTTATGGATTTGATTCCATATTGAACAAAAAAAAACTGACAAGAAGATTTATTCAAATGTTACCGTTATCAAATTTCAAGGTCACAGCAAGGGACAGTTCTTTAGTGCACCTGCCCTAACTTCTACATGCATGATGGAATTTTAAAAAAAGATTTGTACTTATGATCAAGATAAGTGGGCAATTTGTAAGGTTTGAATGTGATATGTTTATCAGAATTTGATTTATCTTTGTTCTGCTATACAGGCATTTGGAGAACATGCTTTTGACCTTATTGAAAATGCATGTAAGACTGCATTGTTTGCTTATATACAAGCTATTTAAATTTATCAAAATTTTCAGATTCAAAGCAGCCATGTGCCCCCAGTTGTCATACTTATGGAAAGATAACATTTAAAGCTGTAAACGGCACAATCAGAGATATTAAACAAGACTGTATTTTATATCTCTGGGAAAGCACAGCATTTCGTAATGGTATGTTACAAAGTATATACAGCCTTCACCCATATTAGTTTGAACATTTCTTAAACTTATAGTTATTTTACATATGGAATGATGTAGCTATTCATGTATTTATAAGTATATCAGAAACTTTTACCAACCCATTGTTTTGATAGGTCTCGATCTAGAGCCATAGTCGAGAGATAGTTTGTTACCAATATGGCATCAAATTTAAGTTGTTGTATAAGGATAACTAGTTACAATATGCCTTGCAAAAGTCTGTACTTTATTTGTATGAATAGCAAAATATGTCCTTCTTGTAATGAAAAATCAAAGAATAAGCTTGAACTTACATGTATACATGCTCATAGGGTTTGGCTTCATTGATATCTTACAAGAAAAAAACTAAACAGAAAGTTTTTAGGAGCAAACATAATATCTCCAATTTGTTGAATCAGATAAGGATATTAATTATTGGAAATAAAACTCATACTTCTTACAAAATATGGTGAATGTACTGCTTTAATTATGCTGTATTTATTATATTTCATTTCGTTAACTGCTTTTCTTTGACAGCCAAAAAAAGGCCAGATCAGCATGTTCTTTTGAAAGAAATTGATGAGACTGATAGATGGGAATTGTTTGAAAAAGGTTATTTTTATTTATTTTCATCTCATAATTTGTCAATTTTTTCTACTTTAAATGAATTTAAATGAACATTAAAGAATATGATACCTTTAAGCTCAGAATAAATTGATCAATTTCATTTCATTTTTACTTTTCTGGATATATACATGTACATGTAATATATATTTTACATGTAATATATATTATGTAGCTTATAATAAATTGATCAATTTTATTTCATTTTTACTTTTCTGTATATTTACATATAATATCCCAAGAAAAGAAAATTAAGCTTGCTCATGTCATTTATGTCCTTCAGTCTGTCTGAAATCTGCATAATATGATTATTTTAAAGCCAATATAATCCAGTATATTAAACAGTCTAATTTTTTCATGTAACCACATGTATTTAAAGCAACATTTGTCTTCAAGGACCACTGTGAACTTTCCCATTTCTAATTTGTTACAGAGATTAGGAAGTTTTCTCAATACAATGATTAGTCTGCTTATTTTTTATTGTTTCATCCAGGATGTAATGTATGAACAGTTCGCAAAATATTTTACCAAGTGTTTACAAGTTGTAATGTCTTTCTTTCAGTGTTCCCTCAAGGAAGATTTACCAATGAAACAGTCCGTACTTTTGAATGCAGAAAGCTTGATTACAAAGATGTAATACATGCTCCTTATGAAGACAACCCAAGTGGAAAACAGGAGGCTGTGGTTAATGGGTTCAAGTTAGCTATTACATTGAAGAAAAAATCTGTTGGTCTCTATTTTGATGATGCCAGTAAGACCCCTTTTCATCATATAATAATAAATTACGCTGAAAAGTAAATTGTTTAGCAAAAGCTCATCTGTAAGTCAGTAGACCACTTTTTCTTAAAGAAAGAAAAAAAAACCTTTTAGTTTACCTGCCTATGTTTGTATCTAAAAATTAGCTTGTTTACAAAATAAAATAAATTATTAACAACATAAGAGTATTGTATATACAGCAAAATGCCTGACATTTCCCCTACAAGGGAAACAATATAAAATACCCTCACCTACAGGTACAGGTCCCCCAAAACAGAGAAAGAGAGCCGTGATAACACAATTGCATTAATTG